TTTAATTTGGACCTAAAAACATAATAATACACTCCTTTTCTAGTCAGTGGTTTACCATATTTACTTAAACTTAAAAAAGCTTACATTCAGGATACTCAAAGCCAGTACTGTAGTTACATTGAGGCACACCGAGGCAGCTGCCACCCAAGAAAACAATTAAATAGGCTAGGAATCTAGAAGAACATGCTACAACAGTGTTTTGTTTTTTTGCTCCTTCAACTGAACTTAAAAAGTCCCCTCCACTCTGCTCTTTCAAAATCCTAAAATCCGGCTTCAAGAAGGTTGACATATCATGAGTAAATATTAATGAATGACATACAAATAGGATATTACTTTAACAATAAATCTACAGAAAATGTTTATATCTACAGCTTAATTTCATACAAGTTACAGCAATTTTACAACTAATTTCTGTAATATAATGACATCCTATCTTTTAAATGACTGAACAACAAGTTTACTGTCAAGTAAAACTTTATGACAAATTACATCTATGTGTTTTTGTCAGGCATGTCCTGGATAAGTTTTCTGTCACCATTTTTAGATCAGCTCTCCTTATAAACATTTCCTTTAACAACTTCTTTTGTGTAATAAAAGTTGTCAAGTACTCTCCAGTCTTAAGTCTGAAGAACATAGAAGAGTCAATGATCCTTTTGGAGTTGTTTCTTTCTTCAAAGTTGATACCATGAGAAAAAAACACCTTTTACATAAACAACACTTAAGAACCTGACATTATATTAAGACCAACAGTTTGTTTACCTGTTTAAACAGCAACAGTGAGATATGCATGATAAAATCTACCATTGTAATCTATTTTCCATTTCCAAAACTAGTACTTATAACCATTTTTGTAACACAACAAAAACCTATTTTTGTTATCACAATATTATCAATCAAAGACATGTTTGCATGCTATCTATTTAGACTGTACTGAATTAAATCAGTTTTTGTTAGTTTCTGTTTAACAAAGTTCACCACCTTAAACAGATGCTGTCAAAATAAAATGAAAAGACCAACTGACAGATTAAATGAAATATTTGAACAACAAGCTGGAATCAACTGGTTGTAGGTTGTCATTGTGTGTGAAATATTGTTATAAGAGCCAGCAATGTAAACATCTTTTCCATCATAATACAATGTCACACTGGGATAGTATTTTCATATTTAATTAAAAAACAACTTTCAATTAAAGCCAGAACACAAATCATCATAAAATGAGTATAAACATGCCAGAATAATGCAGGGGGTCCATATTTGGTATACGCCAAATGCATTTATTGGTATTGTGCCATCTGAATAAAATTGTCCTCTAGAGTCAAAGTTGAAGCACTGCTATGAATACTGCACCATGGGAAGGCAATCACTTTCTAGGTGCTTCAATCACGACCTTCATACAGAGTTAAGGAGCGAAAAATGAACAAGTGGCTACGAATTCTGTCAAAAATTACACTCTTCGTAAATTTCAATACAAGAAATGAAACGATAAAGTTGAAGTTCAAGTACCTAATTTAAGTGTGAAAATTTTGGCTTTTTTTGGGGGGTCAGAAAAATAGAATAATAATTACAAGAAAAGATGCAGTGTCATTTACAACTCAGTCAGTTCATTTCATGGACTCTAAACATCTATACAAATGTAGTACTTAAGGGCACTCTACTCTTAACTTAGTAATTATGGGTCATTCACGAGCCAAAAGGATTACAGTTTGAAAATACTGTACCCTACCATTAAATTCAAACTCTGATACGCTCTTCTAGCAATAACTATGTAGGACGAAACTGCAACTTCATGTTTAACTACAGGTTTTTGCTGAAGAAATTAGACCTATAACCAGGTTAAATATGGGGTTTTTATGTTTGTTTACAGCATGAGTACACCTGTCTTTAACTTTGATACCAATGGCCCAATCCCTAAATGCTAGACAGACAGTTTTGATTTTCAGATCAATTTAAAAGCATTTCAAAAAGCATAAAAATGGCTCCAGAAAAATTAGACGCTTAGTTTAGCATTTCCTGAAGGATGTAATAGGCTAAAGCCAGTACCTGGAACCTTCGTATTTCATATTCTCAAGTGCATTTACCATTTTGTACATTCACTTTATTCACATTTCTGTCTGCAGTTAAAATAACATGAGAAGATTGGTTTAAACAAACTCTCAGATCTAAGTGGTAAAGGTGCAACCTTTGAGGTATTTCTAATTTATTTCTATTTAAAATAGAGCTGGATTTTATCAATTTATCTCCAAGGGTTTTTTGTTGTTGTTTTTTGTAAGGTCTTTTAGAAGATAAGATATCTTTTCATAGATTATTTTGAAGACTTTGGAATCAAAGTAGTTTATTAATTTACTTTTTTACTTTTCTTTTTTTTATCCAAGCAAGTTTGGAACTACTTAAGCCTTGAATACAAACAGATAAGATTTAAATACAAATACAATCTTTAATATTTAACATTCAATTTGGACCTTAGCCATAAATATAATGCCACAAATACAACATTTCTTTTTAATTTTGTCACTGTCTGTAAAATTTGATTTTCCTCTCTAAAACAGCCAATTTTCCAATTTTTCTTGACTTAAATCCTGTTAAAACTTTGTGAGATATCTTCATAAAGGCTTTAAAAATTATTATCTTGGATAGTGGGATTTATCAAAATTTCGAACCAGTTATAAAGTCGAGGACCCCTACTGCTAGGTTATGTCAATAAATCATGTATATAAATATTAAAATATGATACTTTATCTCTATCTACAACATGGAAATTATCATACATCATAACCTTAGGACGTACAGACCACTGTGCTATTGTCAAAATAATCAAAATAACCACCTATCTAAAATACAAGATAGCTGATAAATGCATTATAGATAACAGCCATCTTCACACTATGGGAAAGATAGTATCTAGTTTTTTATATAGCCCAGTTTGATGTAACAACCTTATATTAATATGACTAACATCTTTAAACATTTCAAGCAGGAAAGGAATAAACACTACAGGAAATCTTGATATGTGATAGGAGTGGACTGAAATATCTCAACATTTTTTTGTTATATATATATATTTTTTTTTTATTTTATGTACAATATACAAACAAACATTTTTGTATTTAAAACTACTAGTATACATGATAATTTTCTAAATTTATCTTCTGGCACCATCACTCATTAACATGTAAACTGTCAATTAGCAGAGTGTTTATTGTGGAAAGAACGTTATATAGATGAAATATTTGATTTTTTAATCCAATTTAAGTCAAATATATAACTAGGAAGAGACATCTTTTATTTTCCCTTCAAAAAGAAACTAAGGCTGTACAGTGTCATTGCCTATACTTGCATCATGCTTATATAATTGTGATGTTGTAAGTTGGCTCTGTAAACGACATTTAATTTTAAAGCACCTGCTCTTTGTTTATTGAGAAATACCTCTTTCTACTACAGAAATGAGTTCCTTTTAATTCACAAACATATAATTGTTTTTCTTTTAACCTTTTACTCCCTGGTATCATACATTTTCTGCATTTTCTGACACATTTCTTTCTTTCCAGAAATGAAATTTTCTAGGCAATTTCCTATTAAACAATAACATATTTGAAAAATTGTCACTGATTGTACATGTATATGGTAATGAGTTCGGTAATACCAGAGTCTTTCAATACTCTCAGACAACTTGAGGCAAGAAAATATTCAATGTAATTTCCTGAATAAAATAGCTATAAAAGAAAATGTTAAGCTATGAAAAATGGAAAAATGTTACATTAAATAACCAAGACATGCATTATTTCATCACTTTAATTCATATCTAGCCCTCAATTTATAATTTTTCCTTCTTTGGGCATTTTTTTTTTTTGGAAACCTTAAGATTTTATTTTATATTCAAATGTAAAAAAGTTCAACCTTTAAGCTGAGAAGTTAAGCTAAGGGGACTGTATATTTAGAATAATCCTGGACAGAAATTTTCGTGACCTGGCCCATAACTACACCCATTATCTCCAGTATCTATTAACATAAGGAAATTGAGGAGAGAACCCCAATCTCCTGAATGTTAATTTGATACAGACAAACTGTTAATATTATATAATATTTCACACATTTCAGTGATAGTGATAATTAAAGACCTATTGCCACCAGTTAAGAGCTGCACAAAATCTGTATTTTCATCAATACAGGCTGACCAGACTTTCCACAGGTGACAACTTAATTAATTCCAGTATTTGTACATGAAATTGCTGAAATTAACGCTGGACATGCCCAGATTCAAAGCCATAAAAAAGGCAGGGGAGCTCACGCTGAGGTCACAGGGACTCAGCACAGTGTTGGGATAGTGTAAAAAGTAATTCTAGAAAAAATATATACTGTATAATATAATATATAGACTTTTTACACTATCCCATCACTGTGTCAAGTCCCTGTGGCCGAGGTTAAGCAACTATACATTATTACCAGAAAACTGTGATGTGATATGTGAATAATACCATATAAGGTTCTAGGGTTTATTATAGAATGTATATTTGGCTCTTAAACAGCCTTAAATAGAACACTTCAAGTACCTCTTTGAACATTATAGAAATACAAAGTGTATTTTATATAACTAAAGTGCATGGCTCTTCGAATATCTCAAGTTTTATACACGGCTCCATTTACAAACTAAAAACAGTTAACCATTTTATATATGAGCCTTTGGAAGAAATGACATGGTACTGTGTATAAGGCTGTTGTTTCAGTTTTAAAACCAAATAAAGTTATCATATTTGCATTTTAAAATCAATGTTTGTTACCTGAGGAAATGGGTCAAATTTTGTGTTTAGCTGTAAAATGTGCAGACATTTTAAAGTAGCGTCTTGCGATTTCGTATTGGCATATTATAGGACATGTGGTGTCCATTACTTATTCTGGTATTACTATCAATTCATTTTTTTTAAATAATTATCATGTATAGACCAATTCAGGCTTTTTTTAAAGAAAAAGTAAAAAAGTTTTGTCATAAATTAAAGATTTCTTACCTGTTCAATCACCATGTCTTCTTTATTTCTTATATACAGCTAATTATCACAAAACTAATTACTTCCAAATGAATAATTCCACTCCATACATCAACATAGTCAGTTTAATTTACATTATCCACTTTGATAGTCCTAAAACAAAACCCCCGTTAAGCACTGCTTTAAACTGTTCACTGTCCTCAGTTAATCTAGGACACTCTGATAATAAACCAGCTTGGTTTGTTTTATCTGTCTCAGCTTATCATCCAACTTTTACCTGAAAGTTTACATAAAATCTTTACTCTCAAAATAATTCCACAAACTATTACTTCCAAAAGTATAGAAATTCAAATATTGAAATGTCAACTTAAAAGTTGGAAAAGATTCAAATTTATTTAAAATAGGCGTACATGGTGTTTACCTCTGTATGACATAGTCAACGTTTAAGTGTGGTAATAGCATACATGAGTAACCCATACATTATTGTATTATACCAAACCCACCTTGTACAGGGGCTATAAATAGATCTATCGGTGAAGTGTTTCGGCAATACCGTATTTTATTGATAATAACATTCGTAAATCAATTTCTTATCTCCCTTTCTTGCTGGTGGAAAAATCCCCACAGAAATTCAAATTAAAGATTAAAAAAAAAACACCAGATTTTAACCCTATTTTATAAATACAAAAAAAAATATATATATATTACGAAAATGATTTCTAAAACAATAACTTTGAAGTCTTACAATATTAAAATTCTAACTGAAACTAAAGTTTAAAATTTAGACACAGATTAAACAAAGGTGCTTCCTTATTCCTGGTGGTCACCTTTGGGCCTATTCCAAGTAAAATTTTGAAGTGTTTATATAAGTAATAATATTTTGAAAGTGTTTATGTTAGTAATCATCACTGTGTGATTTTAATTAACATAAAAATACCTTTACGATTTTTTTCTTATGTCAATTAATTACAGTTCATACATGTAATAAAAATATAAACTCTGCCCAGGTGCCTGCTTTTCTTACTTGATTACCTTCAGATACAAGTAGAATTTTTTATTGTGTAATAAACATTTCATTACTTTTTAAAATCATTTTATAGCTGCATTAATTAAGTTTCAACAAAATTAAGCATGTTTAGCTTTTTTATAAAAAACTAGTCTAGCTAAAATGTATATTTATAATGTATAAACATTAAGTTTAAAATGTAAATGAGAAGAACATAAAATTTACTACAGTATATCTGTAAATTTAAAATGTACAATATAGCTTTTTTTAATTAATGTTTGCACAACTGTTAGTCAATTACAAACATCTACTTTAAAAATAGATAATGAGATTTCTGTTTTAAATTACCTCATGATTCTAATGCTTCTTTGCAAATTGACTGTAATAGACTCAAGTTTAACTGCATTTTTCAACTTAACATCTGTTTGCAATTCATTAAAGTTAAAATATTTCTCCGCGTTTATCAATCATAAATGTCTTACACAATATTCTCTTTACATTCCTTCTAATACATCACAGTTTCCACACAGTGCTTTACGTGAAAACATCCTGCATTCTGAAAATGAAAAGAAAGTCTAATAAAAAAAATATGAAAATCTGCTTTATTGTAAATATTTAAAATGAAATTATGGTATCTGTTTTTCAGTCTGACCTAAACCATTCATCAGTTTAGAGAAGATTTTAAAATGACCAAATACCGCACAGAGCAGACCATGATCACACTGCCAGAATTTGGTCTGCACTGGTTAGAATCAGTTGCCTCAGCCAGGCCAACGGTTAATAATTTAAAATAATATGTTTTAGAAACAATTTTCATTCTGACTTGCGGTCACCTATTCTGATTGGTTCAAAGTTCTGGAATCAACCAACAGCAACAAGGAATTCTTGAGTTTGTAAAATAGAAGTTATAAATTAAATTTTGCTTTTTTGACGTTTGAATACTGTTAAAAAAGATATGTTCTCTATGTTTGAAGGACTTGTCCTTCTGCTATGTTAGATCAATCATTGTGAATCTGTTCACTACATGGAACAGAATGATATAAATCTTTATAATCCAAAAGTATTAACTTATCAATTCAAAATATATCAGATTTAAAAAAAAAATCACATTTTTGAAAGTCAAAATAAAATAAAATCATATCCTAGCAAATACAGCATTTTTTTTCTACAACATGTAAGAATACTTTAAATTACAAATGATGAAAAAAAAATATCACACCTTAACACGTTACTGTAATTTAAGTCCATATAATTCATTATCAATTATATAGTGTAATAAATTAATATGAATGTCTGTTTTCACAAATACTACCATAAAATGAATATTTATGGTTGCTGACAAACAGTGAATGACGTACATGGTCGTCCTATAAGAAACATATATTGCTGTAAAAATATATGACCACGGGCTATAAGCGTACATTGAAACATGATAAATACTGCATTAATGACACCTTGAAATGATTGGAAAAACAAAAAACAGCTGCGGGCCAAAGAAAATCATTAAAAATTTGCTTAAATTTCAAACTATATCGTCACTTTAGTGCAATAACTGATTAACTCCTATTAAATACAGAAGAACTTATTTCGTTACTGATCAGCTCATTAAAACTACATTATGGGTAGGTAATAATATAATTACAACAGGGTAATAGTTGAAGGGGAATTATGAAACTATATGTAATTTAACATAGTGTCCTATTAAACTATGGAGATAGCGATCTTTGACACAAATACAATATTGTATGGACCAATATGACCCTGATTTGCTATATAAACAAAATCTTGTAGGGACATTTTAAAACAAGATTTTTATACTGACAATATTGAGAGTTGTGTCAACAGCAGATCTCTCATCTATCAGTCTAAAGATCTAATTGACAATGCTGGGTAACAACCATGCAGATCTAATTGATAAGCTAGGAACCAATCAAGTACTTATCGACCACCAATAGCCAATAAATGAGTTACCATAAAAGTGTAATTTGTATCAAATTTCTGTAAATCAAGAGTAACTGAATTTATGTATTACTAGATAAGTAAATGAAATATAAACATAACCTGTTATTCACTTACCCATATTCAATATGGTGAACCATTACAGACAATGGAAAAAACACAACTTTATAGCTTTTAACCATATCTTTTCCCTAAAAAAAGACAAGACCTCAAAGAAATCATAAAAAGGTACCTCAAGCGTTCATTACCTTAGTTTCTGCATCCAATTTTAAAATCTTAAAATCCAGTGTTGAATAACTCATATACTCCAAATAGTTTTTACTAAACACATTTCTTTTTAGAAATTAATTGAAAATTGCTATAATGAACAGTTGCTGTTTATAAAAACTATTTTTATAACAAAAACATTTTTGTAATGTATACATGAGTCATCTATTAAGCTAGCAAAGGTTTACTCTTCTAAAAACATTTTATATGTTTAGGTAGGATTAACATAGAGGATTAAACTATTAAAGATAAATCAATTACATGCTGTCAAACTAATCAAACAGTTTAAGGATTACAGACATCTATGTAACTGTAATTTACACTAATCCCCTTGTAATCGTCCCTGATGTAATGATTAACTCTATTTAATCCACGGATTATCTGTCCCGCTAAACTCTCTCAAAACTACGACCAGCGTGAGGTCCGGGGATCAAACTGATTATCTGCTAGCCGACACTGATTATACAAACTGCCCAGTTAATGTAAAATGATCCCAAAGCCATGATAAACCAAAACCAATTAAAGAATTAAAGATAAATTTCTTACTCTTAACTGTTAAATAATAAATTTCTTACTCTTAACTGTTAAATAATAAATTTCTTACTCTTAACTGTTAAGTAATAAATTTCTTACTCTTAACTGTTAAATAATAAATTTCTTACTCTTAACTGTTAAATAATAAATTTCTTACTCGTAACTGTTTAATAATAAATTTCTTACTCTTCACTGTTAAATAATAAATTTCTTACTCTTAACTGTTTACTATTTGATAACAAAATAAGAACTCTTTCTTATATAATTAGGTATAGACTTTCTACTTTTCTTTATTATTTAAAAATCCTAAGAATCATTCTATTTTTGAATGTCAAACCCCTTGAAGGTGTGAGACATAATTATTTGCTTGCCTGAAAAAGGAGGAGATATTAAAAAAAACTTTAAAATAAGGGGGCACAGTCATTTATGGTGAGACTTAACTACTTAGTGCTATGGTCAAAGGCAAGAGTTGAAATGGTAAAACCATGTCCTTAAGAATGAAAGACAATTTATAATAGTCAAAAGTTGCTGTAAATAAACTGTCATTCTGGGGATGGCAGTGGCAAGATCTTCAGAGGAGGGAGTCATGTTTTATTTCATCAGGATAACAACCAGACCATGGTGAGTCTTACAGAAGAGAAAAATTGCCAGAGTTCCAAACAATAAAGACTGAAAAACTATAACCATATTCTAACTTAATCCAAATACCAAAATACCAAATAATGTTGTACCAAACAATCGTCTTTTTCTACATTACACACCGCCTCTGTGGTCGAGGGGTTAGAGTCAATGACTTCAATGACTAATCCAGTTCCCTCATTGGCGTGGGTTCGATCCCCGGGAGATGCTTTGGTAGTTTAGTGCGGAGGAAGGTAGTCTAGTACTGGTGTAATTCTCCAGAAACAATGGTTAGGAAACTACTCGCCTATATGAATGAAATACTGTTGGGAAAAGGCGTAAAATGAAACAAACATACATTCCACTGTTGTATCAGTAACGGAAGGACAGGACGGAGTGACAGCTCGATGACAGGCCACAGGCAAAGCTATATAATAGTATATATATAAATAGTGGGGGCATAAAAGTTAAGTATGGAACAAAATGAAAGACAGTTCAATGATTATACAGAATACTAGTTCATTTTCTGTAAAAACTGAAGTCATTTAAATAACTGAAACAAAATAAAACCACACTTCACATGCAATGCATTCAAAATTTTATCCAGGAATTTAAACAGATAGCCATACTGGTCTTTAAATAGGATTTTTTGTTTTTGTATTGTTCAACAAGATGACACAGTATTTGTAAAATAACAAATGATGGCCAAATGATTAACACTTTAAACTGTCTGATCCTTTTAAGTACGTAACAAATGTCTTAAGAAAAACTACAGCTGACCATAAATATCAACAATAATAGTGCAAAATCGACAATAACAGTCAAATCTGGGCACTTACTGGTAACATAAATCCACACCTACAAGTTTACTAAGGTATTTATTAGCTTACCTTAGATAACTGCATATAACATAAATAATCTATCACTGTACTATGAAAGTGACCTGTTTGGTGACATACCAACATACCATATGACCAATTATGTGTGACAATATCGAGAGGGTGTAAAGCACATAAACAATATCAACTCAACGCACTCTGATCAAATAAACACATTGATATGCATTCAATATTCAACTTCAGAATAACAATGATACGCAGCTCATTTGGCTATCTAAAAATCACAATTACATGTACATAATCTTCAGTGCTTCTGTCACTATAAAGAACTGTGCACTATTAGGTGAGAAAATGTGTAAGCAGCCCTGTAGTTGTGTTAGGATAGCTTTAGAGCGGTATTCTGAGGGTCCTGGGTTCAAGCTGACAGATACTCTCCTGTGCATTGGTCCAATGTTTCACTATCGCTCACATTCTTTGAAGTAGCGCGAGTGTATTCAGAGAGCTGCGAAGGGAGCATAGCTGACAGACTGAATAATTTTTCTCGCAATGTTACATTTAATAGGTTCTAAAAGATGAATAGGGGAATAGATTATTTTTCAGCTTTCTTTAATGACAAGGTTTTGATGGATTTTTCCACAGTGACAGTGCTTTTCTTTGATGTATTTTATGTAGATGTGCTACAAAGTCCAAACAGTATTTAGCTTTAGGTACAAATCTTCTGCTATATGGGACTGTGAAAAATGCATCTATAGACCAGCAATAAAAAATCAAACTTCAACAGCATTGAAATGTAGGAATATGTGCTAGCCCAAGTTCCACCAAGACACATGGGGGACAGACCCTATCCAACAGCCTAACCAACACCCCTACCCCAACCCACGTCCCTTTAAACTGTCAATGAAAAAAAATAGCATTTTAACACAAACTGGGCATCTATCTTAATCATTAAACTTGTTTTTAAATCATTTTTACATGAATCTACCATCATGTCTGAAAAAAGTAAAGATTGCAGACTACAGTATGGGTCTGATCCCCAAGTAATCCAAATTCAGAGGTAATGAGTGCTGCTTATTTAGCATGACAAATGAGCCGCGCCATGACAAAACCAACATAATGGGTTTGAGACCAGCATGGATCCAGACCAGCCTGCGCATCCGCGCAGTCTGATCAGGATCCATGCTGTTCGCTATCAGTTTCTCTACTTGTAATAGAGTTGGTAAGAGAACAGCATGGATCCTGATCAGACTGCACGGATGCGCAGGCTGGTCTGAATCCATGCTGGTCGCAAACCCATTATGTTGGTTTTGTCATGGCACGGCTCAAATGATAATGTCCAGCATTTACTTAGTGTACTCTCATGGCTTCTTAGGATTACATGATTTAGCTCCTTACATTCACTTTTAAATAATGGTCATTAAATCTAATTTTAGTGACCATTTACACAATACACCGCCCTTCATAGTAGTGGTTCATGATAGTTTAAGTAAATCTAATTGGTCAATTTACGTCAATGATGGACTTTGGTCAACAAATTAATGATAAAACTTGATAAGTTTAACAAATTTATAGAGAACAAGAGCTAACATTGTAAGTCTTACCAAAATAAACCACAAAATAAAGGGCGCAGTTAGATGTATTCATACACTACCTTAAGTAGATAATTTCTGAATAGCAATGATTATTTTAATGGATTGTGTATATATATTTGATTTTAGTGTTTTTCTCAACAACTGTTTAAGTTATAATACATGTAGGTGTCATCTAGTAGCAGTGAGCACAATGTCTTTTTTTTAAATGTGCTGATTCATTATTTAAATCGTACCCCACCCAGTCACATCATGTAGACTAACTAGTCCTTCAACTTTTCCTTTAGATATCCTCCTTACTGAGAAATAAGTACAGTAGCATTAAGTTATTCTGTAATATGCAAGTTTTTTATTATTCTATAACTTTGACTGTCAGAAGTATACCTTTAGATGAAGCAAAATAGATTGTTACAAAAAATATGAGGTAAAGAACAGCACTTTAATTAAAGCTGCATGCCTCCAGATGAGCCAAAATATTTTAAGAAAATCAAACTTTTGGAAAACGCACTAAGATTGTAAGAAAAGTATTTAGATTCAAGTAATTATTTATATCTTTTGTGCGATTAATGATTGATTTTGCAGTATTTATCACCATATTTCTACTGCGTAACTAACGCAGTAAGGGCTATTTTTGCATATTTCGACCCAATTTTTTTAATTTATGTGGATTGTAAGTGCCGGTTGCAATATATAAATTACTTTCTTTGTTCACTTTGCAATATTTTACTTTTAAACATATTTTCAAAATTATCATGAAAATTAGGATAAATCTGCTTTAAGAATGAACAATAACACATCAAGATACTGAATTTAAATAGAATATGTTCCATGACAATTGATGATATTCTGCTTCTATGATTTATTTTATCCATGTTCCCTATGCAAATATGACAACCTGTTTTTGTTTGAGGAAATTGAAATTCTACCACTGTTTTGACTTTGTACAATTGATTATGACCTAACATAATTGATTATAGCAAGCCAAGCACAAAAGAACAATTGATTAACATTATAAACACATTTTCCACATCACTTTGTCTGATTGAAGTACACCAATTAGTTGAATATAAGCAATACACTGGACAAATGTTTATTACTTATTAATGGTTGTGACCAACAATACAAGTTATTTACTGCTGCGCCAGGCATTTAACCTTTATTGCAGTAAAGTAATGAAACGACCTTAGCTTAGAATATAAGGGAATTCAATATCAAAATACTAGGCTGTTAAGCAGGTACAACAAATTTAAGCAAATAGACTTTGGTCAGATTATAAATGGTCAGTGATATCAACTGGTCAGTGATTACTACTTGTCAGTGGTTACAACTTGTCAATAATAACAACTG